AAGATTCTCTAATCTCCAAAGGACACACTAAACACAGGACAGTGGGCGGTGGCAGGTTGGAATGAGCAGAGATTGGTCCTTCTTGAATGGTCTGCTCCCTCAAATCATCCAATCAGAATGCTTCCCGGGGCGCTGGTCCACCAATCACAGACGGGCACCTGTACACTAAAATTAACATAAAGAACACAAACCAGCAAGACCCCCCCCCCCCCCCCCCAAATACACTTACGAACCTTGGTCCTAACACAATAGATTAAAGGCATGTACACTCACACACACTTACTTGTATTTAGGTCCTTAGGCCCTTCAATGTCTGTAGCAAGATGCTGCAGATCTTCTACAAGTCTGTTGTTGAGAGTGTAATCTCTTCAGCCATCGTCTGTTGGGGTAGTAGCATCAGAAGCAGGGACCTGAAAAGGCTGGTTCTGTTCTGGGGACGACTGTGGAACCACTGGAGGAGATAATGCAAAGAAGGATTCTCCAGAGAATCATGAAAATTATGGACAACACTGAGCATTCTCTTCACAAGACTGTCCGACAACGGAAGAGTGTCTTCAGTCAGAGGCTTCTTCAGTTTCGCTGCAACACTGACCGCTACTGGAGGTCCTTCCTGCCAACAGCCGTTGTAATATACAATAACTCTTTGATGACTTGATTATTATTATTATTCTGAGCTACTACAGCAATCAGTTTCCCTCTAGGATTAATAAAGTATTTTTTAATTGAATTGAATTATATGCTTGTGTGCACCTCCATTGACTCCCATTCATTTTAGTTACTACACTATGCGTAACCCTGTCCATAAACAATGGGATTCTTTTCCTAACACAAACTAAAGGTTTGTCCCTCTAAACCCAAGTTTTAGGGTGCTCCACATTGTGTGGACCAGCAAAATGTCCCCACAATGTAAAAGTGCCCACAGGCTACAGGTGTAAGTCAAAATGTGTCCAACAAGTGCACATGCACACAAACACACACTTATGAACTGAACATAAAGGTATAAAACTGATCATCTACGTGCTTCTTTATAAAGTTGTTTTGTTGAGCACTAAAGGAACACCAGTCAATGTTTTCCAAACGCCATGATTAACCCTCCCACTGTCTTTATGGGTGACCCCACGAGGAAAGTTGGCCATTGAGCAGGATTGATGGTTAATCCCTTGAGGTCCACATGGCAGGGGTGAGGTGGTGCTCACTCCTCACCCCTGCCACATGGACCCAAGGGATAAACTATCAACCCGTCTCAATGGTCAACTTTCCTCATGGGGTCACACCCATTAGGACCAGTGTTGTGCAGTTACTGTAACTCTGTTACATTTGTCAGTAACTAATACTCATATGCATTAGTTTTTAAATACAGTAACTCAGTTATCGTCACACTATGGTGCGTTTGTCCGTTACTAGCTAACTTCATAGAGTTTGGCAAAAAAAAGGCAGCTGCGTGCTACTTCCTGTTTACAGCGGTGATGCCTTGCGGGAGTGTTTGATTTGGAGACCTCACAGTCATGGCAGATCAAAGCAGGAGCAAACCAAGTTTCTCCTCATGGAAATATGCTCACTATTTCACATTAATCGAGGTCAAAGAGAAGAATATTCTTGTCAAGTGCAACCTATGTCTTTCTGGATCAAAAATCCTTTCTACAGCAGCAAACAGCAACTCCAATTTGTCGAAGCACCTCCAGAAACGACATGCTTCCACAAAGCTAGTTGAGAAGCCGGATGCTAACCCCACTCGCAAAGCTAGCCATACCCCGCCAACCAAACAACAACGGTTAGATTTTAACAAGACTGTTAGTGTTAGCCAGGGAGAGATAAACAAGGCCATCGCACGGTTTGTTGTTGAGAACATGCAGCCCGTTTCAACTGTGGAATCGCCCGCTTTTCGGCAACTGATAAGTATGATACCATGTCCAAGTGGCACACTGCAAATGAGAAGAAATACTTTTTCCGATTACCTGGATAAGGAGTATTTGAAAATGGAAACTGAGCTTAAAATGGCACTGGAGGAGATTGATCACATTTCCACTACAGCAGATATTTGGACTGTCCACAACAAGAGCTACCTCGGGATAACTGCTCACTGGATTAACACCACTACCTTTAAACGCCAGAAAGCTGCCCTGGCCTGTAAAAGGATCAAAGGTAGGCACACATATGATATAATTGCTGCTTAGATTGACCATATTCATTCATTGTTTGGATTGTCAACGAAAGTTACAGCTACAGTTACTGACAACAGCTCCAACTTTGTGAAAGCCTTCCAAATGTTCCAACCAGAGTCGCTCTCTGGCGATGATGATGATGAAGAAGATGGTGAAGACGTCATCTTCACTGATGTTTCAGATGTGCTCAGCACCGCTGCAGATGAAGGAATTGTTTTACCTCCCCACCTGAGGTGTGCCTCTCACACTCTCAACTTGATTTCATGTTCTGATGTGGACAAGTGGCTGCTTTCGAATCCTACTGCTAAAAATATATATAGAAGTGCGACAGCCAAGTGCACAGCTCTGTGGTGTAATGCTAGCAGATCGACCTTGGCCTCAGAAATAGTGGGAGATACTGTTGGCAAAAAGCTGCTGGTGCCATGCTCTACAAGATGGAACTCTTTCTACGACGCTGTGGCAAGGATCATCGAAATGCCTACAAGTGACTTGAATACCATCTCTGATCGTTTAGAGTTAAAATGTTTTAGTGAGAAAGAGCTTCAGTTTCTGAAAGAATACTGTGCAGTCATGAAGCCACTCACAGGTGCTTTGGACATTCTACAAGGAGAAGAGAACTGTTACTTTGGCACCCTCCTCCCCACCTTGGAAGTACTGATGTCAAAGACGCTGGAGATGAAAGATGGTCTGACTGTTGCAGCTGGCTTACCAGATGCCATAGCACAGGTAAGAAAGATTCATCATCACATCTAATTTTCTACTAGTACAAAAAGACTGAATTTAATCAACAGACACAACTCATTTTTACTAAAGCATGTGGTATACACTTTTTATAACAGGAGAAGTTTATAAATTTAAACACTGATATTTTCATTGGAGCAACCACTGATGTAACCAAAAATATATGCTCCTCTTACCTACATTATGCAATAAAAATAAACATTAATAGCTTTGTGCCACAGTTTCTTTTTGCCAAATAAATGTTTAGTTTTGTCTAATCATTTGTCATTTGTCTACAGTATATGCTGTAATTTTGATGTTTAAATTTTTTTAGAACTTGTACCAATAACTCAAAAATCACATGGTGGTGTACAGCCTTTAAAAAACTTGCTTTAAGAAAAATCTTTCATTTGTTTAAGGTCTGTGTCACCTGGGTGTGTGTTTTTCAGGCTATCCATAGACGTTTTGCATCTGTCTTGGAAAAGGAAGATGCAATGCTTGCAGCTGTCACACTTCCCATGTTCAAACTGCGATGGTTAAAAGACCAGGAGAAGAAAGAGATGGCCAAGGGAATGCTGATAAAAGAGTGCCACAAGCTCATCCCTCAACCTGGTCCTGTGTAGCAAGCAGCCAAGATGCAGGTGACTCTAACAACACCAGACTCAAGCTCCTCCAATGTGCAGGACTTTTTCTGCTTCGAGGATGATGATGATGCCTTCAGCACTGTTGAAACTAAGGTATTGACGTACTTGAGAACAACCGAAACAGGTATGGAGATTCTCAAACAATTTCCTACAATAAAGGGGATTTCTCTGAAGAAAAATGCAGCTACTCCTTCCAGTGCACCAGTCGAGAGACTTTTTAGCTTGGGAAGTCTAGTGCAGTCTCCAAAGAGAAACAAACTGTCAGACCAACGATTTGAGAGGCTTCTTCTCATGCGGTACACAGTGGTTTGAAAGCTAAACCTCAACTCAAACATTCATTTGAATCTTTGGATATTTTATAACAGAGATCATATACAACGGTAACTTCATGTTGAAACCAGTGTAATTTTTTCACTTGAAATAATACAGTTTAGTTTAAACAAGTTGCTGGCATGCAACTCTCACATAATTTCCTTATGGTTTTTCACAGTTTAATATTTGTTCAATTGGAAAGTTCATTTTCCCCAAGTGGCTAAATATCTGTGAGTGTTCAGATATTAGGACTATTCTGATCTTCAAAGAGACATTGAGGGATATTTCCATTTTGTTCACCTACTGATATGTACTCAAAGTGTCTTCATTCCATTTTGTATGAGACCTGTACATTTTTCAAGTAGCATGTATGGCATACAACCAGATGCTTGCATTAGTGGACATGCATGTTCTTTAAGAAAATTAGAATGAGTTTAACTTTCAAATTAGGTCAAACTTAAGTCATTTCTTTTCAAGGTCTGCATTTACTGCAAAATAAAAAAAACGTGTGTAACACTAACATGTGTTAGTTAAGTAGTCACTGTGACTTTTGTTAAATTTCAGAACACTTATTTCATATGAATGCATGGTGTTGCTCAGAAAAGTTTTGAAATATTTTTCAAGAATGTTCTATGGAAATAGTACACTTCGGCAGTTGTATGGTCCTGAAACCACTTGATTATTTGCACTTTACCTAATACATCCAGCCTACTTTAAAGTAGTGGTAACAGCCTCCTCAGAGTCTTACTCCACCCACATTTCATATTTGAAAAATGCGGCCCAAAGAGGCGTTTCCTGTAAGACCGAGAAGGCGGAGCTACGGCCGTGATTGACATACTGAAATTTGAATACAGATGGCGACGGAGAGCGACACTAGCTCAGAGCAGTCATTCGAGGTGGAGGACTTTTCCCCACCTTCTTCCCCAGAGGATAGGGAGGAGGGCTTATTGGGGGAAGCAAGCGGTCCTGAACCGTATCTTTTTGAGCCACTAGCACGTGAGTTGTCAGAGGCCCCTGGAGTCGAGCCAGCAGGAGTATCAAGGCATCGAATGGGTCCAGTCTCTGAGTGGTAAGTAGCTTTTAGCCACAGCTAGCTATATTTAGCTTAGCTAAAAGTAATATTGTATGACTGCCTCGACAGGTGCACCTACGGCCACTGCACATCATTGTCTGCCAGAGAAAATGTGTGCTGCAGAGAAACGCCCAAGGTATAAAAATAAAAGTACCCCACCATGAGAAAAGCATTCTGTAATGTACACATTTGTTACACAATCACTAACATCATACTAATATTGAACTCTTATAGACCTGATATCAGTTGTTCTTTGTCATAGGTAATGCTCAGGTGTCAGCAGGTGGGTGTAACCTCCTGCATAACAGAGCATCCTGGTTTTGAGGCTGTTGCTCTGAATCCCTACGTGTTGCAGGCAGTTTATGGCACCTTTCTGCAACTCTATGGGGAGATGCAGGAGACTACGCTCAACAGGTAAGACAACTGTCAAAATAATTTTTTTATGAATACTTTATAACTCATACCACCTCTTTCTCAGCTGTTACAGACATCTGGCGTACCGGAATGTGGTCAGGTGGTGTTGGGGTTACCTGGGACAGCACGTTCGTGTTGTGATCCCGTCATGCGCTGTCTCCAGAATAAGGCAGGAGTTCCCAGAAGACGGTGCATACAAAGGATTCCTCCCTCCTCTGAACTAATATATATTTTTTTGATTAAATAAATGTTATAATATATATTTCCTGTATTGATTCCTGTCCATAAAAAGCTGCATAAATCACAAAACGGTAAATGCACTTCTTTACACTTTGACATTATTTATATATACACACATATAGCCACATACTTTCAAATGAGCTCTTACAACAGTAAGGTTCTAATTCGGGGTTAATTAATGCTGCTGTAACAAGTGAGTTTACACCCTGTGTGATTAATGAAGTCTATTCTAGAGCAGGTTCAATTAGGTAAAAATGAATGATAATAAATGTGATATATGTATTTATACACATCAAAATATCAATATAATTGTATTTAAAAAGACACAATTGCGCTTTAAAGATAACATTTATTATAGCTACTACTAAGACAATGTTAGATAACAATCTGATCATAACTTTCAAGATTTTTGACAAAACTCTAAACCACAAGCAGAGATTCTGGAGCCATGTGAGGAGAGGTTGGGCCAACAGTGATGTTTCATAGGTTCCTTAGACTGGAGGTAGCTTTCACTGTGATGACAAACGTGGAGATGGATCCCGGGAGCACAGGTTTTTCTGTTACAAGATCAGGAGGCTCTAAGGAAAAAGTAATATTAGTATGACTAGTATGACTTACAAAAGCAAGACTGGTGAGTTTTGCTATGTTACATACGGCCAAGATTTTCAAGTTGTATGGGAGCCACAGAGCAGAAAGGTTGTAGAGATCAATAGACATCTGGGAGGTGGACAGCATGAGTCACGAGTGGATGAGCATAAAGATCCATAATGACGACAGGTAACTCCTCTGTCGTACAGTGGTGTGCAGCCTGGCTGAGGAGGAGAAAAGGAGAAACCACACAGAGTAGAGTACTAACTAATAATTACAATCTCCTGTGTAGCTCACCTGACGTGCACTTTAAAACCTGGACCTGTGCCTGCTCACAGCATCCCGTTTATCTGGTCTTTGGAACTGGGCACAGAGCGGTTCTGGAACCGTAATTTTGTCCGAGTACTCCTGATATGGGAGAGGATCCACCACCACAGAGTCGAACAGCAGGTCCATAAGCTTGTGCACATATACTGGAAAAGGGTTTTCAGTATTACAATAGCTCTCCATGACCATCATTTTGGTTTTATCATACAATATATGACATACATGAGGTTGGATTGGTCTTCAGGGCTCTCACTGTGTAGTCTCCACGTTTGTACTTTGGGTACACTACAGCATATCTCAGCTCACCAGTTGCTGTTGCTGCATGTGAGCGTGCTGCATTTTCATTATAGTGCATTGCAGCAATTTGTAATCTGAAATAATCAAATAAACAAACCATGTAGATTTGAGGCAAAATTCTACATTTCATGCTAAAATTTGAACAATTAGAGGCATTAATTTGAACATTTGTTGTATTCATTACCTAGACAGCATTCCTTTGAAGGAGAAGACCTGACTTTTTGGAGTAAATCTGATGATGAGACTGTGGAAAGCCTCCAAGGTGGATGTGTGGTACAGAGGGCTTATCTTCTCTACGTCCTTCACAAACCGTGGAGCTAACAGAATGGCAGTGAGCTTCTCACATGATGCTGTGCCTACGTAGAAAATGTTAATTACAAAAATTACAATTTGATCAACTTTAGAATGTTGCTATTATTTCCATTGAGAAAAAGTTACCCATAGCTTACATTTTTAGATGACAAATGTATGAAAGAGTGACTAATAGTGCTGTAGACAGGTGTGGTCATTACTTACGGCATTTTAGTACATATTATGTCAATTATGGCTGTTCTGCCTAAAACCATGAGTTGTGTGGCGCACTCGTGTGTTTAAATTTCTGCACAGCATTTTATTCTTAGTAATTAATTGCTGTTGGCCAAATGGCGGTGTGTGACCTTAGCAGCTACATGTGATGTCTGTTACTCACATGCTCAAAAAATATTTCTCCATGTTGAAGGAGGTGAAGACAAATATTCTGTTGTGGGGTGACGTGTTTTAAATGTAAATAAACCAAACAGTAAAGGCTCAGCTGTAATGAGTACATGCTACACTTACTTGGTTTGAGCCACTGTCTTGCCTGTTCTCCATCCAGAGGTGCATGCAGACAGCTAGGGAACAGGGCGTTGTCATGGCTGTGCACATTTTGGATGTGGTTGGCAACTGAAGTCCACTTTGCAACTGCCTCCTGTCCTGAGGAGGAACTGGATGCTGACCAGTAGAGGTGGTTCACCACACTTTGCTTCCACAGTCTCACATCCTGGGTCGTCTTTCTCTTCCCCAGCTCTTCGATTTTCTTACCAATTCCTGGAGAGCCAAATAGACCCACATTTAAAATAGAAAAAAAAATCCTGTAATATTCTCTATATACATCCCCAAAGATTACCTTTTCCCATGTGCCAGGGGTCAAAGTAGTGACTGATTTCCTTTTTTTCCTCCCTCAAATACTTCTGCACTCCTGTGTGGCGGTCAGTCACGACTTGCTGCACATCGACCCCCCTCTCCAAAAGTGTGCTCAGACTTCGCACAAATCCCTCCTTCTCCATTCGCACACTATTCCCAACTTCATTGCTCTGAAAATAAACATAATTCTCCATTGATCTGTGAATAATTAACCATTAAATGTTTTGGAATCATCAGGTAATGTTGTACCTGTACAAGTTGGATATCAATAACTTTGTTTCTTTTGAGATCCATCATGGTGTAGCTGCCATATTTGGCTGAGTGTCCTTCAAGAAATGCAAGTTATTACTTAATTTACATTTGATAGCAAAGGAATAAAATAAATAAATTTAAACGTATTCACCAGGTGAATCAGCTCGCATGTCACCACCAAGAGTCACAGGTCCAGATTCAGTAGCCTCCTGGATGATATCAGCTTGCTCTAGCTGCCACTGCCAGCTCACTGTTGGAATTAAGAGCTTTGCCTGATGCCGACAGAATGACTGCTTGGACAGTCCCTGCACATTGAAGGCACCCAGGAACTAAAATATGAAAAGTTACGACATGAAATGAGAGACGCACAGACCTTATCAAAACTAACCTAAACAGTTTTGGCCTATACCTTAGAAATCTGGCTAAATGATGAGCCTGTGAAAAGGACAGCAGCACAGAGCTGGAGGTTTCCTGCTGGGATGCTGTTCACCATGGGCTGACTGGACCATTCATTGTAGTGCTCACAGCATGAACACCGTTGTGTCACACGGAGCAGTGTGCCGACTGTTGTCGTGTTCACAACACAACGACCGGTACAAACGGGACACCTTGGGGTGTGGACGCAGCTCTGGGACTTTGTGGAAGATGAATTTCCGTCACGGTACCTGTGTCACAAGACACACTGCGGCTGGGAGCTCTAAACTGTGTGGCTATGTAAAATACAAAGAAGCAGCACATTTATAAATGTTTAAAATAGCATAAAATCACGTGTAACAATAATCTGTAAAACAAATTAAAACTAGAAGGTAATAATAAAATGTTTACATAGAAGATTATTAAAAATAATTCACCTTTGCTACGTCGATAAGGCTTTACATGAGCCTGGACAAGTGCATTTTTGCAGATTACTAAATCAGTCTGACAGCCAACGTCTTGGGTAGATTTAGCCTGAAACAAAAAATAGAAGCACATTGTTGTTGGAGTTTATAAAGTCATATAATATACAAAAGAAACTGTCCAATATATATATATATATATATATATATAGGCGCTTTATAACATTCCTAGTGTGTGATCGTTATTATAATGTCAAAGTCAGTCACATATGATGTGAAGAACCTGAAATGTGACCTCCTGAACAGAATTCCTCACAGAACCGGGTTAGGCTTTGGTGTAAAGCTGGATTTCACGCTGTAATGATGTCTGTCAACTAGTGCTGCGTTAGAGCCACTGTTGCTGAATTACCGACTGACACAAAAACAACCCGAATTTTCTCCGAGCCTGACAGAAATAGTCAAGTGGACCTTTTTTGTCGGCCAGGGCTTTGAGAAATGTTCCGATTCGCCGCTGATTCTAACCTTACATCCCGTTCCACATTTTGTGAACTTGACAAATTAGCCCGAAGGCAGTGCAGGCTGATATTAGCTAAATGGAGTGAACCACGTCTCTCAAACTTTGCATTTAGGTAGGAAATTGTCTTTAGAAGATGCTAACTTTTATTTAGCTTACTCACCTCAGACTGGAGCCCGCCATGGTGTTGGAGCAGAGTCGGTGGGCTGCATCTAATTCGTGGAAGAGCCACGGTGGGCACGGCCTCCCTCTTCAAACGGAGACGTGCAGAATAACCCAGTTCAAACTCCATCATGTTGGCGAAGGAATCGCGGGTAAAATGCTGGTTGCAGACTACAGCACCAGGCGGGAGCTGACTGTTTTCCAGTACACCGATTGCGCGCAACCACTGGCGCCTAATTTCTAAGTCCAGTGGAAAGGAGTGCAACCCCACAGAGCCACCACAACCAACTACACTACACCTTTTAACCATACTAACACGATATGGAACACTAAACCTGAATTACTTTCCTAATAAAACTAACAGCTAAACACTAACTAAACTACAATATCTAACAGCCAAGCTAACACTAAATAAGTATGTATAACACTAAAAGCTATGCTAAAGACTAGAATATGCTAATGATATATGCTAACGATATGTAACACTAAACCTGAATTACTTTCCTAATAAAACTAACAGCTAAACACTAACTAAACTACAATATCTAACAGCCAAGCTAACACTAAATAAGTATGTATAACACTAAAAGCTATGCTAAAGACTAGAATATGCTAATGATATATGCTAATGCTGAACTACCGCTAACCGTCCTACACTCGCTTGCAAATCCAACTCCCAACTCGCCACAGGGCGTGGCCGAGACTCTCGTTGCTTTATAACTTTGGCACAAGAGCTGCTACGTAGTACTCTACTGGTTTACGTAGTATCTTACTCTTTAGCCATTGGCTAAAATTTATTCAAAATGTGTCAAATTCTGTGTTTTAAGCTGAAGGTGGCGCATTACTGTGGTTTTTAGGCTGAAAAATTAATTTTTAAAGAAAATGCACCAAAATGCTAAAATAATGAATACACACATTTAAAACACTATTAGACACTCATTTATACAGTTCATCAGCAAAAAAAAGTTAATTTAGACGTTACTTGCTCTTTAAGTTACTGGCATTGAAGTTGAGCATTGCTCATATATTTAATTTTTTTACCAGGTGTTATTTATTTATTTATTTGTATTTGAAATCATTCACTGGCCTGACTTGATTAAAATAGTGTTTACAAATTACATTGTGTTTGAGTTTGAATTATATTTTGTGCGTTAATGTAGATTCTCAGTCACCTAGGACATGATGATCTTGAAATTTTAAATGAAAGCAACTGTACTTTTTTCTTGAAGTCCAGCTTCTTAACTCTTAAAGAGTAAGTCACCCCCTACCAGAGTCTTACTCCAGTCCCACTTTGTGTTTGAAAAATGCAACAAATGCTGTTGCTTGGCAGACGAGAGGGCAGAGCCACTAATAAATACACACGCATACAGGCTCATAACAAATTTGTGACATCATATGGTACCAGCTAAGCCATAGGGTACCTCTTAGCCATTGACAATGTCAGGTTTAACTTCAAATGCAGTGCAGAGTTTTTACCTGAAGAGGGCGCAACACTAACAGTTTTAGGCAGAAAATTTTAATCTGAACTAATATGTTCTAAAGTGCCAAATTATTGACTACACATGTCTTCTGCACGATTAGACACTCATTTATATGATTTATAAGCAAAAAATGTTGATTTGGGGGGTGGCTTGCTCTTCAAATCTGCATGGTGGCGCAGTGGTTAGCACTGTTGCCTCGCAGCAAGAAGGTTGCAGGTTCGAAACTCGGCAGTGGCCTTTCTGCGTGGAGTTGCGTGTTCTCCCCATGCATGCGTGGGTTTTCTCCGGGTACTCCAGTTTCCCCCACAGATCACAACATGCCCTACAAGTTAAATAAATTGTACGTCGCTTTGGATAAAAGCGTCTGCTAAATGAATAAACATAAACATAAACATAAACATTAAATCTCAAGATTACATTTTGTACAGCATTTTTAAGAATATATTTTAAATAAGTAACTAAAAAGTTACTTTTAAGAGTAACTCATTTCTTTTTGATGTGAGTAATCAGTAAAGTAACTAAGTTACTTTTTGAATGAAGTAATTAGTAACTGTAACTAGTTACTTTTTTCAGTAACTAGCACAACACTGATTAGGACAGTAGGAGGTTAAACATAAACACCAATCTGAACACAACCTGTGCTGTAGGTCAGATGACAACATTTTCACCCGTATTGTTTCAACTCCAGAGGAGCGGCATTATGTTTCATTGTGGCTACCGATATTGCACTGTTGTATTTTTAAGAACTTTTCCTCCACTCAGTGACTCTGGATCTCAGCCAGTCCAACCCCCACCCTCTCAATCCAATATTGATTGTCTTTCATCTGCTCAACATTGCATTAAAGACACACTTTAGGCACCTAAATGGTTGAGCGGGCTCACTTCAGTGGGTTGTGGTTTCTGACGCTGCAGTCTGCTAGTTGCCTCAGGAGCAGGGTGAGAAATCTCCCAATAAATCAGTGAGGATGGGGTGGGGGTAAACCTTTGAGTCAGATCCACTCTGCGTCCATTTTAATCAAATCCACCCTGACTTCTCTTTAATCACTGCACTTTTCTCTGATGCTAAATACTAAATAAAGCTGGGAGGCCATGTGGGGCTGGGGTGGAGGCCCCCCAGGGAAAAGGTTTGTCACCAGCTGAGCTTGTTACCAGAGTGGAAAATGAACCACTTAAAAAACACCTGATGCAAAGAAACAAAAGGGTAGAATTCTAGCATAATGCAGTTGGCTTTATTAATTCGTTTATTTATATATTACACAAAATCTGATCAAGTGTAATTTGTGAAAGTAGGATCTTCTAGATACCTCTGGATTAATCTCTGAAATAATTTCACGTGACACCTAAAGGGTCCCAGCTTTTGTAAAGAAGGCCACTAACTGAACTATTACTGTTGACTGTCTTCGCACATTTTTTAAACATATGGTCCAAATATAATTGAACTTGAATTTGACCAAAATAGTCCGCTATAAGTTTTTTGCTAAACTGTTGCAACTGGAGTCACACAAACACAGGATTTATCACAAGATTGTATTAAATGTTACTAAATTTTACAAAACACGTACTGTGAAAGTCAGTTTTGATTGCTATGACAATTTTAGGCAAATGCAGTGAATTAAAATTTGTTTTTCCCTTTTTCTTACTAAGGTAGACGTTTCATTGCTTTGAATTAACCAACTGAAAAAAAGGTCTTTGGGGTCATGGCACTCCATAGCTTTTATTCTGCTGAAATGATTCCAGACACCTTAAAAGGCCCTTGTTGGACCTTGGTGACAGGTTGAATGCAATTAGCTTACAAAAATGTGTGGGTCAGCTGGTTATAGTGTGGGACAGCTAAAGGTGACTTATTAACCAAGGATGAAAGTCTGAAAAATGTTGCTGTTTGTACAAAAGTAAAACATTCTGCAGTATTTGTATGTTAGTGTTTATTTTAGGTGACATTGACTGTGTCAGTCTAGACCTTTGGCGTCCGACACTCTGATGGCCTCTTGACCGACTGATCAATTTGTGGCTCCTCCTCCAGTGTGAATAAGAAACTAAATGTGGCGAAATGTTTAACCTTGAAGGACTATTTATCTTAGTTTATTATGTACTTGTCACAACAAGCGATTTATTTTTTAACATACCCCTCATTTTCTTCATGGTTTGAAACAATGTTTCATTCCAGATTAAACGTATGGATAGAGAGCCTAAACCACGCCCATCTACTTCCGCATCAAGGGTGTAGGAGTAGCATATGTATTGAAAATATATATCTCTCATATAAGCTCTTTCATATATTATTATAAGCTCTTTTATATGATTAAATATGTATCTCTCACTTTTGCCCCTTATATATTATCATAAATACATTATTATATGCCTTTTCATGGAATCTTGTTATAATATCAAAGACCTCTCTGTGCCTTTTCTGCTCAAGCTGAACAGCTGCATAAGGGAGTGAAAGCGTTCCTTCCTTCAGTTCCTCAATACAAGAACAACTGTCTTTGTTAGCAAAGGATGTTGCAGGATGTGTCCTGATCATCTCAAGGTTGCATGTCCTTGGGATGAATTGGTCTTTCATTAACAAGGCTATTAGCTGACGTGCGTCTGCAGGTGCAGATGATGGCAGAATTACGTGTGTGTATGGCAAACTATGTATGTAACATTCCTGTAATCTTCAATAAAAATCAGCCGTTTTCAGCAGAACGGCGAGAGTCTGTCCGAAGCATCTGGCAAGAGCAGGTCGCGGGACTTGCTGCAGAGGCTCTCCCCCTCATGAGCGGCGAAACAGTGAATGGACTTCTGATCATTTGTCTCCTCGTTCTGTCAACTTAAAAGGTGTTTAACTCCATCTACTCCGTACCCGTGCTTGGTCTAACGGAAGAGAGACCAACAAATTTGGCGTCACGAACAGGATTTTTTCTTTTTGAAGAAAAAGGAGTTTTTGGAGGACAATTTGACCAACCGACCCAGTGAACGATCTTGGCACAGAACACCGCGGTGGAAAACAAGGTGAGCAGAACCTTATTTTCTAAAATCTGCTCATTGGAT